TCGTGTTTTTCGACAACACGGACTCCCAGAGTCGATTGTCTCTGATAGAGACCCCCGTGAAACGGGAAAATCTTGGTTGACTATCTTTAAGGTGCTCGGTACCAAGTTAGATATGTCGACGGCGAATCATCCGCAGACCGATGGTCAAATTAAAAGGGTGAATCGCGTCATCGAAGATGTTCTTCGCAGCGTTTGCGCTGAGACACCGAGGCGCTGGAGCGCCATGTTGTCACTCGTAGAGTTTGCACTAAACAATGCAGTGCATGCGTCTACCGGCTACACGCCGTTCTGCGTGAACGGGCTGATTCACCCTCACGTCCCGCTGACGCCGCCATACCATGGCTCAAGGCTTGGTAAAGGAGGAATAGCTGAACGGCTAGCTGATGTCATCCATCACCATCCGTAAAAAAATCGATTACTTTCTGTCTACCAGACTGAGTGTCCTCCGACACGTTCGCGATGCGATGGCTGAAAGCCAAGACCTGCAGAAACAATATGCAAATGAAAAAGGAAGAGGCAAAGTGGAAAGCTGTAGAGTCGAGGACCTGGTTTTATTGAATTAAAAAAAGTTGCCTACACATACAGCCTCTGCTGTTTTCCGGACGAAGTTTCGTCCACGGGTTATCGGACCGTTAAAGGTTGTGGCTAAACGGGGCCTGGCGTACACGCTGAACTTTCCGAATAGGATGCGCACCCACCCGCTTTTTTACGTGGGCGTGCTCAAGCCGTACCGGGATCCGGCGCAAATGAACTCGGAAGCGTTGGCGCCGGAGCGGATTCCACGGGCCCGCGGCCACCCAGAAGTTGAGCCAGCAACTAATTCTGAGCTCGGAGTGCAACAACCTTTATTTTCAATGGTGCCAAGCGCTCCACAGTTGCCTGCAGCGATGCATTCGCCTGCTCCACGGCTAAGATTCGCTCCGACAGAGAGCGGTACTCCTCAAGGCGAGGAAACCGGCGCACGACGTGCTCTAAATCGTCAAGAGCGTCCACACAGCGATATGCTACTTCATCATGACGCTCAGCGGTGCTCCAATTACGAATGACCTTGTCCTCAAGGGCTCGAAGAGCATAACGAGCAACGGACGGCGGTCGACCCGGTCGACCCGGTCGTCACCGCCCGCCACCGACTCTTCTCGATGAGAACGGTGACATCCACTATCACGTGGAACGTCTATTACGACGACGTCGTCACCAGGGTCAGACCCAATATCTTGTGAAGTGGCGGGGAAATCCCGACTCTGAAACCTTGTGATGGTTGAAGCGCCACTTCGGCAAGGTTGCCCAATCGTCGTGGACGCTTTTGATCGGAACGATCAGGACGTCCCGCGCTTCCCGGCATTGGCCAGGGAAGTGGAAGGGCCATGAGCTGAGCTCACGCAGTAGCCCTGAGCTCTTGCGGTCGACGACACAGAGATCGTGGGAGCATCAGGGGTTGTTAGCCCATTCGTCGCAGGGCGACAATATGAAGGAAGTCCTTGAGTTTGGTAAACTCAAAGCGGAGGTGTCGCTTCACACGCACGTCCACTTCCTTCTGGATCAACTGCAGGTTATGCAGTGAGGATAGTTTCGGTGCCGTTGCACCCATCGCTCAAAGAGCGCCTCGTCATCTGTAGCGCTTTCGTTAGGGGCGAGCACTACAGGTATTGTCCGCATTGCGGGTACACGAGAACCACCTCGTCGTGCACTCAGACGAGTGCGATAAGTTTCCAACGGAGCTTCTTGTGGGACCAAGAACCGAGCTCGAAGAACGTTCCGTGTGGCATGCTCATCATCCCTTCTGGCCGGGGGCGCGATGACGTGGACGCGTAACGATCGAGCTACCGCGTCCTTCGCTTCCAAAGTGGGACCCGCAGGGCGAGAGCCATTCTCCACACGAGGGTCAATGACCGACCGTGGATGGGCGCGCATTAGAGCCGCCTAACAGGCTGCTTCATACTGCCGCCTCAGTTGACGAAATTACAGGAAACGGACATGGGGCCCGCAAGACACGAGCAGGGCTCGTATCGCGCCGCTGGCGCAGCTCGTCTTCCTCGGGCTCCCATGCGGGAAAAGGAGTGTCAGACTCATTGTGGACCACATCGTCAACGAGACCACTCGGCACTGAAAGCGTGCGCGGAGTGCGACGTTTGTACTCATCGAGCCTAGGATATACACCCCTCGGTGCTGCAGAGACACTGTCCGACGTTGCACCGAGTGCGGGAGATAAAGTTGGGCTCTGCCCATGCTCGCCATCAGAACCGGCGGGACTTGGAGATTTTGTTGTCATTGACACAGGGCTCATTGAGCAAGGAAGTTGTTTGTTCCAACAAATGGAGTTGCAGTGTCTAACGGACACGCGAGCCTCGTTGAGGCAATAATTGATTGGAACTGTCAATCTTAATGGGGGAGGGTGTAAAGGGGTTACACGAATCCTGACAACAGGGGTGTGTGCGTGTCACACGAGATGTGAATAATGTGACCACACACCCAAACAAGAATACAGGACGGGGCTAGGTAGCCAGTAGTTACGGAAATATTTAGATTTTACTATATACATTTAGTGCAGTTAGGAAAATCTAAAACGTTTAATATTAGGATGAAAATATAAACGAAAATCAGTTTTGATTTTGAACAGAAGTGTTCGTTTGCCTTGGTAAGGTTCTTAAGTACTTTTAGAGGCAGTGTATTGCAGTCCGCTGCACTAGTACTTGGTTCTTGTATAGAACGAAAGATCGGTAACCTAAAGACGCTTCCTCAAGCGCAAAGCTACGGCAGCCCCGCTGCAAGTACAATTACTAACAACGCCCGACTGTCGCAAAAAGTAAACAGTACGCGGAGGTATTCAAGATGACAGATACGGATACTTGAGTCGTGCAACTTGCGACGGGGACACTTGGACAGTGTTGAAGACTCTTTGAAATCATTCCTTTTGAGATGAATGACGGTAATAGCGTAAAACAATATTCTGTCCGAGATTTGGGTTTGAGATACAATCATATATTAGAAATTGCCAGTCTGCAACGCCGATTTTCATTGATTAAGTGCAAGTCTAAAACGTCGGGTACCATTAACTTCGGTTCTCGAAGAGCTTCGCTTCAGGATGAGATTTATTTGCAGCAAAAGTGCGAAGTGTTTTCGGCTAATCTCGCTAGGCAGATGCGACAGTAAACAGCTGACTTTAAAATCGACGGACGAGGTACATCAATTAGGGAATGATTGTGGGTACAACACATCAACCAAACTGATATCTTGGTAATATCGTTTTTAAATTTCAGTTTGTTAAGCAATCAAAATCACTATCATCCAGAGGCGGGTACTGCTTGATATTGATAGAAGGACATTGACGTACGGCCAACGCTAGCAGTCATTTTACGTAGCATGCAAAGACTTAAGTAATACCACAACACGACAAGGTGAATTTTGCTCACGACAATCCGCTATTATGAGCTGTCGACAATATCACTTCAGGCATATTACTTCGATACACTTACTGTAATAAGCAATCAAACCAACATATATACCAAGCAGACTATTATACTAGTCATATTTAATAAAAAAAACTTATGTGTCACACAAAAGGCTCAAAGTGTTCACGCCAAGAACACGTATGATCTCGCGATTTTGACGACAACTTGTTGTAGTTACCAGCAGATACTCATTTCTTATGATTATAACGGTAATCTCGGATGGCGATGCCAGAAATGAACTGGACTCGCTAAGCCCCAGACATGCGTTCATAATTTCGAATATTTCGATCGTCTATTTGAAAGTAATATCATCTTGAATGTTCAAGTCTCTTGCAACTACCCAAAGAAATAGATCCTCAAATCTCGAGCTTCCAAAAAAAAGTCGTTTTGAAGCATTGCCTTTCCCGATAGCCACCATACTCGATAATTTCGTTCATTTTGGAATTTGCTTTCTTTTCTTCAGACGATCGTTTTCAACCTTTTCGTTCCGGCTTTGATTTGAGCTTCAATGCATCTCTTCTCTGCTTTAAACGTTATATTATTCAGCAGTCAAACTTTCGCTTGTCTCGTGCGCTATGACTGGAATATCACAACACTCAATACGACGCTTTTTGATGGCGTAAGAGGCAATTTAGGTTACGGTATCAACAACGAGCCAGCTGATCGACACCCAATCAACATCACATTTGGTGATGAAGTTGAGGTACACGTGACAAATAAATTGACGGAAGATACGTGCATTCATTGGCATGGATTACGACAATTTGGAACACAAGAGATGGACGGTATCTCTGGTATCACCCAATGCCAAATCCCGCCGAACGTGACTGCTATTTATCGATTTAAACCCGATAAATGTGGCACTTTTTGGTTTCATGGTCACGAAGAAGTTCAATATGCCTTTGGTCTTCGAGGACCTCTTATTGTACACTGTCCACCTCGTCAACAACAGAGTTGGGAAAAAGATGTTTACAAAGAATACACAATTCTACTAGCTGATTGGTATCACGATCTACCTGTCGGAGCTCCTATTTGGGATACTGTCTTGATTAACAATGTTGGTCGCTATAATTGTACAATAGCACAAGCTGCTGGATTCGATTGTGGACCAAATGCTCCACTCCCTCGTTTCCACTTTAAACCTGGTAAAAAATATTTACTTCGACTCATCAATACATCAGCTATGGCAGCATTTAAATTCAGTATCGACAATCATACGTTTCAAGTGGTAGCAAGTGATGCTGACTACGTGAAACCATCGACTCCAATTAATACAATTACAATCAATGTGGCACAACGATATGATATTCTAGTCCAAGCTGCATCAATATCACAATGTCAAACTTTGACTTCTGAATCATATTGGATTCGTGTACATTCACTCTTTGGTCTTCCATGGACAGCTCGTTCAGCTGATCAAGTTCCTAATGGTTTTAATCCTAACGCTTTTGCAATTATCGACTATGAAGTCAACATGACATCCGATCCAACAACATCAACGTGGCCAATTGAAGTGACAATTCCAGAATTTGACTACCTTCCTGTCACCCCAATTAGTCTTCCAACCATTCCAGACCAACGTATTGTTGTTGAGTTTACTCTTGCTGTCCTTCCACCAAATCCAACTGCATTTCTTGGGTACATTTCACTCAATGAACAAAGTTTTTCGTCGTTAGAAATTCCACGTACCCCCCCATTGTTTACGATTACCCAAGGTGCAGATACAAACGACCTTCCAACAACCGCCAATGCAATTGCATTACAATATAATGCCCATGTTGAAGTTGTAGTTGTCAATGAAACGCCTGATCAACATCCGTTTCATTTGCACGCTCATTCTCCGTGGATTATCGGAAGTGGTCGCGCATCACGCGAGAATATTCTCGGAAATAACTTTACGGCTCTTCGACTTGAAAATCCTATGCAGCACGACGTATTTACTGTTCCCGAATGCGAGACTGACGCCGAAGGAGCGTGTCAAGATCTTGGGTATGTTGTCTTTCGCATGAATGCTGATAATCCAGGTGTATGGATGATGCATTGTCATATTGAGTGGCATTTTGTCATTGGATTGGGAATGTTGTTTGTCGAAGCACAGGATGCACTTCATGAAGAAGGATTGGGAGCGTTTTCTTCCAATATGCTGCTTAGTGTATGCAATGGAAACTATAGTATCTAGTGGTCGTTAAAATGCAATAGTGACAAAACTGATTTAATTGAGTTGGTAGTAAGTATTAAATCAACACGACGCTTGAAAGAACAACCTACGTATCTTGTCATTATGCCGCGCCACGTAAATTTCCAAACAGATGAAAGTGATGAGTACGAAAGTGCGAGATTACATCCACTTTTACAATATGATATGGCAATTATATTGTGGTTGGTACAGCAGAAAGAGGTGCGTGAAACAATTGCTGTCTTGCTTCTTTTATACTAAGAATAATATCTTTAGAAACGTCCGTGGCTACGGACGTTAATACACTCGACGACATCTCGTCGTCGAACACAAGATTGTTCATTATTAATTTGGTATGTCTAGATTGCGAATTAAACTACATAATCTGACATTTTACTGTCTTAGGTTCGTTTTCATCACGATGATTCCAGAATTTGGGTTTCCGTACTTTTGGATTTGCATTGGCAATTTACTTGTTGTTGCAACTTTACAATTTGTTGCCAATTGTCCTCGACCTTTGGATTTGCATCCGATATTATGGCAAATGCAACATCAACGCAACTTTAATGACACACGAGGATTTCCATGTCTTGACTCTCATATGGCAATAGTTGTGATGTTCCCTGCAATTTTGCACTCTCAGTCTATGATCGTACAATTTATCTTTGTACTCATCATACTCTACATTGCACTCTGCAAATTGTTACTTGCAACTCGTTTTTTATCTCAAGTACTTGCAAGTTTCATCCTGGGATTCACTGGAATTCTTATTGGGAATCATGGAACTATCATTATCAAGAGTTATAAACTGCCACGAGGGTACATGTGAGTAACTATATGTAACAAACATCCAACGAAGTGTAACCTTCGTATTTCCTCATAGGATTGCAGCAATCATAGCGCTTTTGGTTTTCTTAATGCTTGTTCTTGGTACGTGGATTGAAAATAATGAAAGCACGTTAATTGGTGTACCCAAACAAGATTTTTTGGACGTTTTTACCAATATCCTCCATTCTGACGTTACAACGTCTGAAATTCCACTACAACATCAAGAGTCTCAAACTTTATCACTTGAGAATAAAAGCAATGATGAAGAAGAAATCAGCAGTAAACGAGATTCATTCTATTTCCTTATCCAAGGAATGCGTGCAAGAAATTCCATTAGGATATAAAAACTGAATATTAAATCGAAATCTTCTACTTTGTAAACTCTTTCAATGCAGTTTCAATCTCTTGACGCTTTGTCTTGGATACTCGTGGTAATAATGCACTTTGACCAACCCAAACATTCATACGAATATGCTCGTGTGCTTGTACTCGTACAACTGCTGGACCTATAGAAATTGTACTCAGTACGTTTTGTACATCCATTGATAATTTTGAAAAATCCACGTGATCTTGTGCATGTTCAATTAAATTCAAACATTCCACTATAGAAATATTGAGACATCGTTGAGTAAAATAATTGTCCAAAAATCCGAGACTTTCTTCGGACGGACGATAGAAAATTTGCTTATGTTCCGTCACTTTTGTAAAAACTTTAAGACCAGTATTGACAATCTGAGTATACCAGATATATCAGAATATGAGAGAAACTTGTAAGAATTAATAATACAAATGTACGTACCTCAAGAGCATCGCCACTTAAACACGCGTTAGAAATGTCCGTGTCAACAAAAAAGACTGTCGTTGCAGCATCGGAACGACACCAGAGATTATTCTAAAAATAGATAGAAATCATTTACCTTATCATTTGCAAACTCATTTCATATAATTCTTACCTTTAATGTTGCGTCTTGAAGACCGTAAAAATCACGCAACTGATTCCAAATTTCGTCGCAAATATTACGATACAACGTCTCTCGCTTCTTTTTCTTCGTAATATTTTTTTTTTGAGTTTCAATGCAACGTTTTTTCTTTGAATGTATCAATGTATTACACATAGAAAATTCCACGTCTGGTTTATAGTTTTCACAATTTTTCAAAAAATGACCACTTTTGCCACAGAGTTTGCAAATATAAGCAACAGGTGGTAATAATTGATCTTCTTGAAACGGGTCAAGACCTTCTTGAAACCCGGTTTTATTCGGTAAATCACCCACTTTATGCAATACAGCAACAAAAAACCCACCCGAATTTTGATCCATTGGAATCAGACGAAGTGTTTTCACTAGTTGCTTTGTAATTGTACCCTCATTTGGAAACATCGAACGTGTAATCCGTGTACCCCGCAGATCTGAAGGTACTTCTTCGTAAGTATCAAACCATTGATGTACCTTGTTATTCTCTTGATATAACATCTGACCTTTGTGCGTTGACTTGGACTTCGATCTCCAGCCCACACGCCATTTTAATCGACCAGGACGAACAACTAGCTCCGGTATAATCATTGAAACATCCAATAGTTCCAAAGCTCCATCTGCTCGACGTAAAATTTCAGCCACAACTGCTTCATTTTCAATTGGATTGAATGAACAAGTTGAATAGACAAGTGTACCACCAACTTTCACTAATGCAGCACCTCGTAATGCTATTGCTATTTGTATTGGATGTAAGGTTAAACCTTGACCAATGTGCCATTCTTTCCATAATATTTGATTCTTACGAAGTGTACCATCCCCACTACATGGTACATCACATAGAACACGATCAAATACATTCGTACATTCCAATGTCTTTGTCTTGGTATCATATAAACCCGGAAAGGTATCACCAGCTCCACATGTTACTACTACACGACGTAATGTATTGCATGATAGACGATGAACTAACATATATGCACGTTTCTTGTCAAGATCATTGGCAATGACTAATCCATTCTCTTGATCGTTACTTGTTGAGAGTAAAAAGTCAAGTATTTGGGTCGTTTTCGAACCAGGTGATGCACACATATCAAGGACACGATGCCCAGGTTGTACATTTAGAAACAATACTGGTAACATACTTACAGCTTCTTGACGAACAATATGACCACAATCTGTTTGTTCGAGTAACCACGAATGAAATATGCGAATATCATCGTACTTTGGTGCTACATTTGTAATTTATTAGAAGTATGAAGCAATTGTACCGACAAGTTGACACGTACCGCTTTTTGAAAGTGCCACACGACCACACATCATTTCCCACGCAACATTTTCCTGTGGGTACCATGTAATTGGTCTAATGAACCACATGTGCCAAGTAAGTAAAATAAAATATTGAAATACTAAGTTCGCTACTCACTTGGGCGGATTTATCGAAGAATTTTCATGAAAATATTTATCGCTAGGAAATTGAAATTTCGTGGCTAATAAAGTCTGAAGTCTATCATATAGAAATATTGTGTTAATTACATAAAAACCACTTATTTCATAAAAAATACCTTAAAGCGTCGGGACGATGCAGATTTAAGCGGAAAGACACAGGCAGAGGCTCATGTAGCATCTTCATCAATTCTTCTAGCTCCACGTCATTCTTCACTACATTTGTCTCACGCTAATATAATAATTTAATGTAATTGTTACTATTACATTTATTATAATATGTTGTAACAATACCAAGTACTCTCGAAAGCTCTGCTTGTAATCGTCGAGTGCTGGCTTGGTCTTCGTCATGAAGCTTGAATGACCAGTAATATGATAATTGTAAAGGTATACCGCTAACGGTATACCTTCGCAATACCGTAACTACAGTAAATGCAAAAGTATATGTCTAAATGGTAATCAAAAACACCGGTATTTCTATACGGTCAGTTAGTTACCAGTATACTATTTAAGGCTCTAGTGCGAGTTCAAAAAGGCATTGATCCATTCTAATACTTTGACGCTGTCTTCGTCCTCGAGATAGTCATTGAGAGCTTTGTTAAGCAAACAGAATTGACGCGTAGAAGCCGTGAACATCTTTTCTTTCAGTTGATTACAGACTTCATTGTCCACAACCTTTTTCTTGGAGAGTAACTCGATCGCTTTAAACACAGTGTCGACATTGAAGTCCTCTTTATCACTTGATCCATTGCTTGTCACACATAATTTCTTGGTAAGTGGTATAGCTACACCAGTGCTTCCAAATCCACCAGCACCTCGTTCCGTGTCCTCAATCTCCGTCACTTCTTGTACTTCAGGATATTCAATTTTTTCAAGAATGAGTTGTGCCACGCGATCTCCGCGCTTAACAATAAAATCTTCGTTCGAGTGGTTAAATAGAATCACACCAACATTGCCACGATAATCGGCGTCAATAACTCCAGCACCTGTATCAATAAAATTCTTCAAAGCAAGACCCGAGCGTGGCGCCACACGTGCATAACATCCTTCAGGCACAGCAATGACCAGGTCTGTCTTGATAATACCTTTGCCATGACTTGGAATGATGGCATCGTAAGCTGCTGATAGATCCAGACCTGCCGCAAGACTTGAGCCACGCGTGGGTAGAATTGCTTCAGAAGTTGTTCGCTTCACACGAAGGATTGGGATGCCACGACTATGTTTAAATGCCATGGTACGAGTAAGAATGTTCGCAATCATAGTATCATGCGAGTATAATTTGGCGGGAGAGATTTTAATTGGATATAAATCTAAATCATAAAAATTTCAGGTACTTCACACATAATTTCCACGTCAGAGTCCTGATCCGAAGCTTCTCAATATGATTCCCTCCTATCCGTCGCATGGTCCTCCTCTCCCTGGTTCCATGGTACCACCACCTCCAGCTGGTGCCCAAAGACCTGGAGGAAATAGTAATCCAAGTTATTTTACTGACAAGAAGAAAGGGGAAGTGAATGAACTTAAGAATGTACGTAGCATTTCTTTCAATAAAACGACGTCATTTTAGTGCTGATATCTTTGATTATATAGCTACTACGAGAAGTGACGGTTGAAAAAGATGTGAAACGTAAGCGTGAGATTATTAAAAAGGTCATTGCTTATATGACACTTGGTATCGATGTATCTCGTCTTTTTAGTGAAATGGTCTTATGTGTGGATACAAAGGACCTTATTTCAAAGAAAATGGTTTATCTCTACCTGACAAATTACGCTCAGAAAAACTCGGAATTGGCTATTATGTGTATCAATACCCTTTTAAATGATTGTCGGAATGAAGATCCGATGGTACGTGGATTAGCACTACGTTCACTCTGTTCTCTTCGTCTTGATTCGATTCTGGAGTATATTCATGATCCATTACAAGCTTCATTAACTGATACAAGTGCTTATGTACGCAAGACTGGAGTGATTGGTATTTTGAAAGTATATTCACTTAATCCTGAGATTATTAAAGAAAGCGACATGATTGATACATTGTACAACATGATTCGAGATCGAGATCCTCAAGTTGTTTCCAATTGTTTGGTGGCTCTTAATGAAATTATGGCTGATGAAGGAGGAATTGCTATTAATCAACCAATTGTGATGCATTTGCTAAGCCGCATCACCGACTTTAATGAATGGGGTCAATGTAATATCTTGCAAATTGTTGCCAAGTACAAACCAACAGGTCCAGACGAAGTATTTACAATCATGAATACACTTGAACAGTGTCTACGTGTGTCTAATAGCGCTGTGGTACTTGGTACAGCCAAGTGTTTCTTTAATCTCACTCAAGCGCGTGGTATGGAACAGATTCAAGACCAGGTCTTTGAACGAATGCGTCAACCACTTCTAACGCTCATGGCTGGTGGAAGTCACGAAATCAATTATTGTGTGCTTCATCATATTCTTCTGCTTGTGACCAAAAAGCCACATGTGTTTAGTCGTGATTATCGTCAATTTTACAATCGATACAACGAGCCTACACATGTTAAATACGTCAAGATTGACATTCTAGCTCTTGTTGCTGATGGTGCCAATGTCGCTGACATAGTCACTGAATTAAGCGAATATGTAACAGATGTAGATCAGGAGCTTGCTCGCCGTGCTATTCGTGCGATTGCTGATATCGCAGTTAGTCCGAATCTCTTAAAGAATACAATTCCTCAGCAATACCCCGGGGGTGGTAACGTCCCCGAGGCTTATGGCCAGCATGCGGCTGAACGATTAGTGGAGCAGATGCAAGATCATATATTAGATACAATGGTGGACTTTTTAGAGCTTGATCTCGACTACGTGCGTGATGAAAGTCTGGTTGTTATGAAGGACTTACTGCGTAAATATCCAGACAAGCGCCACGATGTTTTACCTGTTCTGTGTCGGATAATTTCTGCAGTTGGACAGCCTGCCGCAAAGGCTGCAGTTGTGTGGATGCTGGGGGAATTTGGCCAGGACTTACGTCGCGCACCTTACGTATTAGAAAAACTTATTGACGACTTTAATGACGAAGCTTCGTCTTCAGTTATCTTGGAGCTTCTAGCTGCAGTGATGAAGTTGTTTTTTAAACGTCCACCTGAAATGCAAAGCATGTTGGGTCGTCTACTTGGATCTGCTATCAATGAATCGAATCATCAAGACGTGCGTGACCGTGCATTGCTCTATTATCGATTACTGGAACAGCAGCCAACGGATCAGGCTGCTGCAATTGTAGCTCAATTTCGCTTAGAAGAGACAGTTAGTGTGTTTGCTGAGTCAATTGAAACGGATTTGATGGACAAGCTCTTTCAAGAGTTTAACTCGCTTGCTGTTGTGTACAATAAGCCAAGCGAGCTCTTTGTATCGCCAACGCATTTGGCAGGTCCTGCTGCGCCTCTTGATGACGAAGCTGAAAGAGAGGAAGGTGATGAAGAGCCAATGAATCCTCCACCCGTCAAACAACAGCAACCACAACAGCAGCAACATTATGCACCTGATCCACCTTCACAACCAGTAGCATCTAGTATGGATCTACTTGATATGGACTTTAGCTCGACTTCGAATGGCCCTCCAAAACCTCCAACAACTCTCACGCTCATTCCTTCGCCTGTCATGGATGCTGCAACGTTTCAGGGTCAATGGGGTAGTCGACCAATTGTAGCAGAAGTTGTTGTCCAACTTCCAACGTTACCTCCACAAAACGAGCTCGAACAAGCGTTTGCATCACGCGGCATCGTCACGATGGCTTCAGGTGACGTTGGTCCACAATACAAGTTTTTTTTCTATGCTCAAGACACGCAAGGTCGATACTATTTGTCCGAAACGCTTGTTGAAAAGGCTAATCGTACATTTCGAGCAACGATCAAAGGCGTAGATGAGGCATCAGGAAGTCAATTTGCAGACTTGATGCGTCGTGTTCTCTTTGGATAAAGCTAATCAACAGCATGTTTCGTACACTTGAACCTTTTGGGATTGTTAATATTAGTTTATTAGAAATTGTATCGTTGCACACAGCGACACCGTCGCCTTACGTCGCTGAGAATGGCAAGATTGTTAACCTTGTTCGATATCATCTGACATGAATATTCGTCTCTTTGTAACCTGCGTCCGTGCTGCCACTTCGACGGCCCTTGCAAGAGCGTTTACACCTTCTTAAGGTTTGCTGTTTCACAGCTTAAATCCGTTGACAATCTAAACACACTCTACATTTTACAATGACCCTGATTATGCTCCAACGAACAATAGTTCTCGAATCGTAGCTGATAAATGCCACGATTTTAAATGTTCGGATCTTTTAGATAGATTTCCTGACTTAGATACTAATTTTATTTAGTGATTTGTGCGAGTTCTTATATCATAATATTCTATGCCGCTTGTTTGGGATTCACTGGTGGAATTGCACCGCTGAATGACCCGATATGGCATTCATGTGACCACGGTCAAGCACGTCGATTACGACTATTTATTTCGGACGTAATTACGGATATTTTAAGAGTCATTCATTGGTTTAGGTACCAAGATTGCTTATTAGAATGATCTAGAAGAATAGGCTGAGAGGTAGCACAGGTTAGCGAGCTAAGGACTTAAATATAATTTTTACTTTCTATTCAACAAAGAATACACTTCCTTGTCTGCAAAAGTGTTCATGCAATGTCATGATTCTTTGTGGTTGTTATGTGCGCTTTGTTAAACTTGTATCATTCGATGTCTCGTTTAAGCAAACAACACTTAAATTGTGGGTCCGAAAGCGTGATGAACGCTGCACGATGTACTCGTTCGGTATTTTCAATTCACGAGCTCCACATATCACGTTAGTTAGAGCATTTTGTTGTCTTACATCAGACTCACGGTCAGTGGTTGTAATCAGGCCTCATGATAAAGGCGGTTTATAAACTGGGTTGTTGGTACCCAGTGTTTTTCTCTCATTTAATCGAGGCCATAATGAATTAACATAAGCCGCATGACCTGTGGTCCGGTGAGACAGCTCCCAACTCCTTGATTGGCAGTATTTGACAATACTGCCAATCACCAGCTCCTCCATCAAGCCCTAGTGCAGTCCACCAACTTCTTCACCGCCACTTCCTGGTCACCGCAACACTCACGACCTGCTTCATCACCACTTGATGGCACACGCGAACACCGCGACGACGTTCACCAGCTTCTCCAACGTTACTTCCAGGCCCAGGAACACCACGACAGCATCTTCCAGCTTCTTCGCTACCACGCTTTTGTCCTCAAAGACCACAACGTTCAAGAGCTTCTTGTGCATGCCGCTGTTGATCCTAACCTTCACCATGTCTAATGCCAGCTCACGTTCACCTCAACAGTGTCCATGAACATCTCCGTCTTGCCCTCGTTGGTCTGCAAGTTGTTTCCGGCTGTGTTTGACCTCTCGAAAAAACATAACTTATTCTCATAATTTATTTTTATTTTACGTAAACTTAACGTAAAAAAACGCTAACGGGAATCGATCGACGGGAACGGGAAGAATGCCAAATAACGTCAACTCGGTTTACGTCCCCATCACTACTAAAACCTATTGACCACCGATGACCATCGCATGCAAAATCTCGTTTAATCTTTGCTTCCGTTTGCTGTCATGCGTTGCTTTACTAACCTCCAGTGAGTTATCGCAATCGAAGGCTATGACGGTGTCGATGATTCCAAGATCTGAAAAAGCTCTCGTTCCGACTGCGGATCTTTTGTCAACACCTGTGGAGGAGACGACTGCATTTCTTACGGCCGAAAAAAAGATGGGCCTTCTCTCACGTCTTCTGTCTTTTTTTAAACCCTCGAATATATGGAATAGACTCGCCTCATCTTGGATCATGAGACTTTTTAAGCCCCACATCTACTTGCGATACGCCCCAGACAAAGAGGCAGCAGCATTTCAACTACTAAAAAAAGCGCACGTTGACAAGGTGGAGAAGAATCTTTTCAATAGTCGTGAGTTCCAAACGTGGGCAAGATACTTTGAGAAGGCCTTTCCAGAAAATCCAATGATAGGGTTTGAATTAATGATGTCAACACTGGCGGAACACGAGACGAGCAAATTCCTTGACTCTATTCCGACTACGAAGGCTGTCGACGGCGATTTGGTTCTTAGCGACCACTTTGCAATCGCGCTGATTGACTTTCTTGCCAAAGTTGAGGAGACTAAGGACTCGAAAGCTTTTGTTGAAAGCCTTGAAGACTCACTGCTTAAACTAAGTGCTAACCTGAAGGCAGTTGATAGCTCAAAAGCCACTGGTGAGCTAATAGAAGGTGAAATCCTTCATCGATGGCTCAACAGCGGCGGTCGGAAACTAATTGACATTTATAATCTACCGAAACTGCAGAAGTGGTATTTTTCTCAGCCTCAACAGGAGCAGAGTGATCTTACCAAAGCGTTACACCTCGAGTTGCAGGAGCAAGGATTCGGTTGGACAGCCTTTGGTGATGCGTACATTGCAGCTGAAGACGGCGCCGCTAAGACAATTGCAACGGATATTGTAAAGTTCATACTGGAACAAAATCTGGTGCAGCTGAATTTGGAGAAAATGAATGATGGTTTGGACAGGCTTTCTTTCGACTTGTGGGTTAACACTGCAATTGATTTACAAGCTGACCCTGTTAAGATCGCGTTGCCATTATTGAGAAAAGTCGCAAGTGATGAGGTGATTCTAAAATATTGTGCCTCGGAAACTTCTGAACAAAACTTTCGCGCTAAGTCATTGATGCGATCATCGAGTCATCGCCAGTAGGCAGAGACGAAGAAATAAAAGCCTAATATGTTTGATCAAAGCTTTTCTTTGACGTGGTTTTGTTGAGGGCGTGGATTGATGTCATGAAGCTGCGCCATAAAGATGATGCAGATGCCGTGATAGCTGGAATTTCGCAAAGGTTTGGACATTGATTAAAGAAGGAAAAAAGAGCAATGAAAAGAGTATTCAAACACTCTTGCACAATCTCTAGGCTCTTTCTATTCATGTTCCAATATTCCCTAAAGCTAATTTGCTTAGACTTGTAAGTAGTTTGTTAATGCACTTGTATTACCCGTGTTACTTAATATGAATCAGAGTAAACGTTGCATTTTAACCAGACGAAGTTGATGAGTGAAATGAAGAAATTGACGATTTGGTTGCATCATCATCGTACATGTCAACGAGCATCTGTCTCGTAGTTATATGGTCAATGTATGGCAAGGTTGCCACATCACCATATGCCGTGAGATTGGTGGTGATCAAATTGCAATTAAGCAAGTTTATCGGCTGTTTTTTTGCTTCCGACTTGGAAGCGACGTTAGAGTTTACCCTGACAAGGGCAGCGAGAGCAATGACATGGTTAATAGCTGTACGTGTGAGCTGGCATAGCGTACAAGTGCTAACGTTGTTTGGTGAGCTAAAAACTTACTTGGTGTTGAGATTGGCGCGTGCGTAATTAACGATCACGCTATGCTTCAGGATTGTCCAGTATCCAACGCAGCCCGCCACATTCCAATTTTTGAAGCACAACGTACTGCTTGCAACGTTGGCGAAAGCGTCTGATGGCTCTCAGCTCTGGACAGGGACTGTATACATTTTCGAACCAAGGAGTTCATTCGAAGTCATTGAGGATAACTATCCTACAAATAACGTCGATGGCACGGCACCAGTTCTTCTTAACGAGATGTCCATGGTATAGGTATTGGCAACAGCGACGTCTATTTCAACCGACTCGCTCTTAACCGTCTTTTCGCTGTCGTCGACATCTTTTCGCATGCCTTCCTCTATTGTTGGAGTAATTGAATTTCAGCGAAATGTTCGTGTTTGGCTTATGCAAGAGCATCATCGTGATTGAAGAGTGATATGATACTAATCGTCACAGCATAGTTTGACTTTCACGACGTCAAGTTTCGGTGCATTATCTTGCGCTTGGAATCGCGTGCAAGCATTTTAATTGATGTGGCGCATTTGACGAGCTATTACAGCTGCACGGTCAAGCTACTGCCACTTGTTTGGGCGAATATGGAGCGCAGGATCAAAGATCATCAAGTTGGGACATCGGAAAAAGTTTGCATCCTAGCGATCCTGACCCACGATCTCGGAAAAAGTTCAACACTTCTTGTCATGATTCAGCTATTTAAAGGTAAAAATCCACAAGCAACAGCTTAACCGTCCAAATGATATGCCTTATCATTCTCGCAGTGGAGGTGCTATACGCATGCTTGCGGGTGAAGCTACCATGGACTCTCAATTGGTGACCTCTGCAAAATCCATCGCAATATGTCTACCGAGTCGTCAGAGTTTGATAAATATTCGCTAAACCAACAAAGAATTGTCGCTGTAGTGACCACTTGTCTTTGCTTCAAGTGCCGTCAGTAAATCAACTTGTGCCTGTTCCTGCATCCTCAACAAAAGTCTTTCTTCAGCTAAAGGTGCGGTAGAGGAGGCGATCATGAAGGTTGTAGACAACGCATGAGCAGAGCGTGTTTGTTTGTACGATAGATGGGGCTCGGATTCACGAAATCAACGTTAGGGTCGATCGGGGTTCTAAGATCCCATCATGAGCACCGGCGTCGAATGAGACGGATTTGTCAAGTAGCTTTGAGGAGTCGATGGGGTGTACACGTTGTGGAAGTTGATTTTCATTAAACGCATAAATGCATGTAGCAATTTAACACGTCAAGCTCGGTGAAATGGTCAGCAATCGCCACACTGACAACATCGGCTTAGATGTTAGTGCATGCTCAATCAACATCATGCTACATTAGTCGCGCTAAGGTCGTTCACGAATATGTGGTGGTGAAGACTCAAACTAGAATGCGTGGATATCGGGGAAAAACGTTCGTGAATACCAGGATGTGATATTTCTTAAAAATTGCTTGACGCGAAGTTTATGTTTCCACGCCAGAATCATGATCCGATTCCTAGTCGTGGACGCAATGAAGATCGCAAAGATCATTTTCTTACCGGACACAATGCCCTATCGACAGCTACCATCTCTAGTATTTTAACAGCTTGACGACGAGCATTGTGTCGTCGTGGTGTGCTTGTGAAAGAGAAGTTCCCCATTATTGGAAGTCTAATGTTGAGGATCGACTAACAAACTTCTGTTCCTGCGATCTCAAGTCAGGTATCATTACTAGCAATAATTGTGATAAGCTAATTGTTAATATAGCTATAAATGACTAGATTCTATAAAACTGAAGGTATGTATTATTCACTTGGAACTAGAATCGAAATCTACCTCTAGCTTAAGCTGGAATGTTCTTAAGAAAATGCATTGCAAAGCCAAAGAGCGTTAAGACCTTAATAAGCTCAGCACCAACGTAAAGAATGTGATAAATGCGATTGGGTCGATCGCTGACTTGAACAGTGTGTCGAATTTCGCCAAACTGCATCTTTTGGTTGAATGACATACTTTCATCATTCATTTCTTTAAGTGCTTCATACAAAGTAAATTCCGCCGTGAGTTGAAGTTTTGGATAAAGCCACATGGTCTGGACTAATAGTAACACTGTTAAAACGATAAGATGCCACGTTGCATTACTTGTGGACGACAGAACTATGAAATGTACCATCCAAAGTCCAGCATTTAATCCAATTTCGATTGAAAGAAGCGCAGCAAACATGGTACGACCAAGATCGAGCGCTAGATGGCGTGGAATAAATGGAGCTCGGAATTTAACCCATGATTCAGTCCATGATATAGCTAATAGAAATCCTAACCACACAAGGGAGAGAAATGAGGCAGCTGCTCCTTTAGAAATCCATTCGAATCTTGCGGATACAGCAAAGAGAGCACCAATGCCAGCGTATACTCCACTCAATAATCCACGCGTCTTAGTGTCCATTACAATAATTTAGCAGAAAGCGAGTGAATGAGATTTCTTACTTCACGAATTAGGCAATATCAGTACATTTGATGGAAATAATTGATGACCACCGATTTGTAATTCTGGATTTTTTTGATTTGGGTATAGTTATGTAAATAAATACGTAAGATATGAGTGCCCAAATGATCATTTGGGCCTAAAAAGTAGTCCATCGAAATCTCCAATTTTTCTAATTCTACCCTTTTTATTTACTGGATTTACTTCACTGAACTCGCTCCCTGTCGTCACAAAGTAAACGACTCGATCAAGCGTACGCTACACACTTAAGCTCACGTTTCTTTCGATCTCCTTTATCATATAACAGAATGAAGGTTAAGCACTGGCTGTTACTCATAGCTGTAGCAGTAACCACAGCAAAAGCGAAAATTACAGACAATCGCGTGCTTCTCGAACTTGAAGAAACTCTTCTGGCTTTAATCCCCCAACCAAGTACGCGACGACTGCTGAGTGTTGATCTCTTTGAAGAGCATGCTGCACGGTATTTACTGGCTGCAGTTGATACGAGAGATGATGTGATTTCATTGTTTCAATTGTATAAGAAATTATACCCCGAATTGGTGACATCATTTGGATCAACAGAGGCGACACAACTTACGTATTTTGAAGAAAATGTGTTTCCACGAATTCAAAAGAAAGCGGATGAGTTACTTTTGAATTCTGGTGATGATAGAAATGAGAATACTGATGGAAGTTTTGATAATGAGACTCAAACAGAAGGTGGAAATGGTGAGAGTGACTTGACAGGTACTACGAGTGGTAAAGGAGGTTTGGGAGGAGGTACTTCGGGTGGTACTACGGGTGGTACTACGGGTGGTACATCACTAACGGGAGAAACATTGCCAACGGGAGGTACATCGTCAACGGGTGGTACTTCGCCTACGGGTGGTACATCGCCAACGAATGCGAATACTCCGAGCGGGATTGGTGGTGCAAGGGGGGGGACTTCTGATCGAACGCCCTCGAATTCTGGTGGAATCAACTCGGGGAGTGCTACTCCTGGTGGTACACTAACGCCGAGTGGTGTAAACACGGGCAGTACTAGTACTGGTGGCACGCTTACTCCAGGTGGAGCAAACTCCGGCGG